TCGTGGGTGGCGCGGCGGGCAGGGGATGGCCTTTCCGGTCGGTGATGGTGGTTGTAATTTCCGACGCGGCAGTTTCCGATGAGCCGTTTGGAAAGCGGATATTACGCTACTAAGGGTGTCATCAGTCTTGCACGGTCAGTATTTAATATGATTGACGAAATTATGGTAATATTTTGTTCTGTTGAATAATTATGGTAATATTAATTTCTTGTTTCCTTTGTCTTTATTTGCAATTAATATTAGTTTTTAGTGTTGTTTATGATACTTTCCCGGTTAATTATCTTCTTTCAGTTATGTATTTTTCCCTTCTTTAATTGTAATTATATTTCCATTTTGTATAGAACTTTTGATGATGTAATATGTATTAAGTAAAGTCCCCGCGCCAGAGTAGCTTCATTCCGGGGAGACAGACAACAGACAATATTATTGTATTGCAAGAAGTTCTTCATTCCCTCAAGAAGAAGAAAGGGAAGAGGGGAGGGATGGTAATGAAGATTGATCTTGAGAAAGCCTATGATCGTCTCCGTTGGGATTTCTTACGGGATACTCTCAAGGAAGTCGGCCTTCCCAGCTCATGGATCAGCTGCATCATGCATTGTGTGGAAAGCAACAAGATGAGACTTCTTTGGAACGGGGACCTCTCACAGACTATCACCCCGTCTAGAGGAGTTCGCCAGGGAGACCCTCTATCCCCTTATCTTTTTGTTTTGTGTATGGAACGTCTGTCTCACAAGATTGATCGGGCCATCCAGGATAAGCTATGGAAACCTTTAAAGCTATCAAGTGGTGGCCCGACCCTTTCTCACCTGTTTTTTGCAGACGATCTAGTCTTGTTTGCTGAAGCCGGAAGCTCTCAGATTAGGATCATCAAGCAGTGCCTTGATGAGTTCTGTAGCAGCTCGGGAGAAAGAGTGAACTACCACAAGTCGGCCATGTTTGTGTCGGCAAACATCGCCAGACGGCAGGCTAGAATCCTGAGCGACCGCATGGAGATCCCCCTCACTGTGGACTTGGGCAGGTATCTGGGAGTTATGGCGATCCATGGACGAGTGACGCAAGGCAGATATCAGGACCTTATTCTCAAAATCCAAAGGAAGCTTGCGCCTTGGAAAGCGAAGCATCTCTCCATTGCTGCGCGTTCCACCCTCGTTAAAGCGGCAGCCTCAGCTATTCCCATCTATCCTATGCAAGTGGAACTTCTCCCTAAGACTGTCTGCAGAACTCTTGATCAAATCAACCGAGGGTTCCTATGGGGTGATTCGGCTGAGAAGAAGAAGATGCATTTGGTGGGCTGGCCGCAGCTGACCCAATCGTAAGATAATGGGGGTCTGGGGATTCGGCCGACCAGAGAAGTGAACATGGCCATGCTGGCAAAGTGTGGCTGGCGTCTCATGACCGAGAAGCAGACCCTATGGGCTCAAATCATGCGAGACAAATACGGAAAAGGCAGGGAGCAACTCGACATCATCAGACCTGTAAAGGGAAGCTCCTTCACCTGGAACAGCATCTCCAAAACTGGAGCTTTGCTGAGAAATGGATCTGCTTGGAATATTCACAAAGGGAATCTAACTCGTTTTTGGTCTGATGTGTGGGTTTTGCAGGTACCCTTAGAGGAGGTAGCTACTGGGCCAATCCCAGAGGAGGACCGACACGCAGTGATTGCCGAGTTCGTGGATGAGGAAGGAGCCTGGAAGACGGACAAATTCTGCAACTTTCTCCCTGAGGAAGTGACCCATCACATTACAGCCATGGCGGTGGATCCACTTGAAAGAGAAGATGATAGACTGTTTTGGCACCCGACTTCAGACGGTCGCTTCTCCACCAAGAGCGCCTTCAAACTGCTGCAGGCAAGCCCCGGCGTCAGTCAAAACAGAATTTGGAAAGCAATTTGGAAGCTAGAAGTTCCGGAGAGAGTGCGATGTTTTATGTGGCTTGTTGCACATAACAGGATCAGCACCAACGAGGTACGTGCGAAGCATCGGTTATCGCCATCATCATCATGCTACAGATGTGATTCTCAGGTGGAGACGACGATACATATCCTTAGAGACTGTCCCCCGGCAGCTTTTGTCTGGGCTCGTACAGTCCCAGCCGAGCAACAACAAGTTTTTTTCAGCAGCTCTCTGCCCCAATGGATCGCTGCGAATCTGCAGAAGGATGAGAAACTTGTGGCTGACACGCCATGGAATGCGTTCTTCAGCATTGCTATTTGGAACATTTGGAAAAACAGGAACGAAGGGATTTTTAAAGGAGCCAACCAGACGCTGTCGCCTTCCTCGCTAGTCCAAGCTATAAAAATTAAAGCCAATCTTTGGCACCAAGCTTGGATGGCTCCAAAGGATAACCTGGGTCGAAGAACAGATTTGGTTGAGCGCATAACTAGGGAGATCAGCTGGATTCCTCCTCCTCCGGGGTGGAGCAAACTCAACGTTGATGGAGCGGCCAATGGAACTCGAGGACCGGCTGGAGCGGGCGGCGTTCTGAGAGACAGCAGTGGCAGATGGATTCGAGGCTTTGTCTCAAAGATAGGTACCTGCTCAGCTGTGCATGCGGAACTCTGGGGCATTTATCACGGAATTGGAATGGCGTGGAATTTCGGCAGCAGAATGTTGGTCCTAGAAACGGACTCACAGTTAGCTCTCCAACTCATCGAGAAGAGGACAGATCCCATTCATCCGATGGCGACCCTGCTTACGGCTATCAGACGGAGAATCGCTCAAGATTGGGTGGTGCGTCTAGTTCATACTTACCGAGAAGGGAATAGAGTCGCGGACTGGCTCTCGAAGCACAGTCTCGTCTATCCCTACGACAACCATTCTACTCTCTAATCTCCCTCCCCTGTACTTTCTTTTGCTTTGGCTGTGAAGCCTCCCCGGTTGCAAAAAAAAAAATATGTATTGAGTAAATCTCAATCAATGCTTTAGTTTGAATTATCTTAATAGTCCTTACTATCAGCTGTGAAGGATAATCATTATAATAATTATCTTTGGTTTTTATAATATTATCTGCTTTTCCAGTTGTGCTTCACAATTCGCATGCCCTTGGTGCTAATTATTGATTAATCTCTTCCATACCTGCCAAATTTGCGTGAATTTAAGTTTACTCTTAAGAGTGAGGTAAGTAACGGATTTGGGGTCTGGAGTAGTTGTTAATATGACTACTTTACTTAGTTTTGTTAATTAAAGTTGACCTTATTTTTTTTTCTGTACTGTGCTTATAAGAGGTGAATAATACCGTTGGTGGTATATTTTCGATAAGTCGACTTTGCCTTAAAGGCAATATTTAATCTCTTCTTATAGAGATTTCTAGCACCATAGCCGTGCATTTGTGGTTGATCATTGCAGGTGCGCGTATGGTATGAAAGTGATTGAAGGAAGTGACATAAGTTTCATTGACCTATCAGGTGATAGTTCGATTTTATTTGCCTTTACAAACTTCTGAGAGTAATTAAGAATGCTCAGTGGAAGATTGCTAATGTCGCTTTCTTTTCTTTGTTGTGGCTTTTTATGGCAACTCTATGGGCATCCGGTATACTCTGTCGAAGGAAACTACACTCGCTGGCGGGACTATCTTGGTGTTGTTGGATTTTTGTTTCTGTTTTTTCCGTCAGTGTCGTGTCTTTGCTCCTCAGAGCTTCTTCAGAGCTGCCCAAGTAGTGGCTTTACATGCTCTTTCATCGTAGTCTGGTTGCATACAGACTATCGTTCATTGTCTGAGTCAGTCTTGTAATCGTGTCGAGTCTTTATCCCATGCCCTCTGGGCTTGCCTTGGGAAAAAAAAAACGCAATCTCATCTATTATAAATCTAGAGTTTTTCAAAATTCAAATTTTACCATAACCCTCTTTTTGAAATTTACTAAAGTCATCACCCTTTAATTTCCATGTTTCTCTATCAAACGCGCGCAGCCGCTTCCTTCATATTCTCCTTGCCACAACCGACGACGACCCGAAAACAAGCAGGAAGAAGCTCCCCCTCGTAATCTACTACCACAGCGGCGGATTCTTTGCCGCATCCACCTCCTCCAGAGAGTACCACTCTGCCCTCAACCGCATCGTCACCCAATCCAACGTCATCCTCGCCTCCAGTGGCGTAGCCAGGATTTTATGTAAGGTGGGTCCGAATTGTTTTTATATTGCAAGAAAAATTTGAGTCATTGCAGTGCCCCATAATGTGTTCTCATATATTGACGAACTTGCATTCATATGATATCGATGTCAACATATGCTATACAATAATCATTCATGAGTCACCCATTAGATACCAAAGAGTGTTTTCACGTGGCTCATTGAAAATGTCATTTCAATACTGCAGTGGAGCCTTAGTTAGCAACAACAATAAGTTACTTCTTTCAACTACTATGATTCGAAAAATAACTCCTAATTCTATATAGTTTTAGACAATAGCTAGCCTATATTCACGTCAAAGTATACATATAATAATCTTGTTGACGTTTAAAACATGATATATTGAATTTATTATTAGGATAAAAATAATCTAGCGAGTTTCAAAAAAAGAAAGTTTTGATGATATATAATGAATAAACTTGAAATGGTTGAACCACGATTAAACCACGTTTTCAACCTAAAATATCCTACCATTGATTTGTCCGATATAACTTTTGGTACAATTTTTAATCATTATTATTTAGGCATACATATTTTTTTCCGAGTCAAGGTGGATCCCGGGACCCACTTTAGTATGCACTGGCTCCGCCACTGCTCGCCTCCGTCGATTACCGCCTCGCACCGGAGAATCCGATCCCCGCGCCCTAGTTCGACGCATTCGCCGCACTTGAGTGGATCACCGGCGCTGGAGGCCATGGTGAGCCCTGGCGCAAGGATCACGCCGATTTGGACCAAGTTTACTTGGCAGGTAAATGTTAGTAACAAAATAGAATTGTTAGTACATAAATTAGTTCAGTCTGACAATTTAGTACCTGAATGCTACAAAATTGAACTTACAAATCCAGGGATCCAAACAATATTCTGATCTCTATTGGCATGGCAGGGGACAGTTGCGGGGAGAACGTGTCGCACCATTTTGTCATGAAGCTAAAAGAGGATCCGGGTCGGGCGGTGAGGATCCGAGGGGTGGCAATGATCCACCCGTACTTCTGTGGGAAGGAACCGAACGGGGACGAGTTTAGGAAGGCCATGGTGGATAATTGGTGGTTGTTCGTTTGTCCGTCGGAGAAAGGGTGTGACGGCCCGTTGATCAATCCGTTTGTGGACGAGGAAAACGGGTCGGGTTTGGCGGAGCTAGGTTGCGAGCGAGTTATCGTGGTGGTGGCGGGGAACGATATTTTGAAGGATAGAGGGAGGCTTTACTACGAGAAATTGGTGGGGTCAGGCCGTCGGGGTGGAAAGAAAAAGAAGAGTATTTGGAGACGGAACGGAAAGATCACATGTTCCATATTATCGAACCCGATTGTGAGGAGGCGAAGAGTGTTTTTAAGCGTCTGGCTGCCTTCTTTAACGATAATTCGTGATGGTTAAATGGTTTGGCGTCGGAAATGGAGTAATGAACCTACATGTGAAATGTATAATGGGTTTGGTTTGGATAGTTAGTTCTTAGTTTTTGAAGGATAATGACGTGTATTTTCAGAATCTTATGCTTAATGTTGGTGTTTCAAAAGTGTAGGAACGGTTTGATTGGATTAGTTTTGTATGAATTCCACCGTATTTTCTTTTTATGTTTAAAATCTTCTAGTATAAAAAAGAAATTACGCTTCAAAAGTAGGGGTGGGCATTGGGTGGGTCGGGTGAATTTTGACCGTAAAATGCACCCACCCGCGCTTAAACGGATTGATAATTTTTAACCCACCACCCACCCACATTTAGTCTCGGGTTGGGTCGGGCGGATGGTGGATGATTTGGGTGGGTTTGTGGGTTCACCCACATCACAATGTATATAATATAAAAGAGTCAACTTGACATGATAATAGGCGAAGAGAGTTATCTGGGGAAACAAGAAGATGAAATAGGGCGAAAAATGTCGAATTAGTTCTTAAAATGGATAGAAATTCTATTATGAAAGAGTTTTCTACAGATTGAGATGATTATCAGGTGCAGGGAACTAAGAAAAATAATTTCACAAAGGAAAGAGCAGTGATCTAGGCACTAGAATTAGAGGAAAAAATAAAGGGAAAAAATAAAGGTGATCTCTTGCAACCTCACCTTCCCCCGTCTCCCACAACACCAAACGTTGCGATCAACTTCTCTATCAATCATAGCATGTTTATGACTTGTTCTCCATTGGGTTGCAGCCCCAACTTATGTTTAGTTTGTTTATAATTGTTCGGGAACAAATTGGTTCAAATTACTCGTAAACAAAATCCAAGTTATGAGTTTGAATATTTTTCAAACCCTTTATATAATACGGTTAAATCATTTTTTTATAAGTGGCAATGTATATTAACAGGGATGCACAATTGTGTCCCTAAAAGTGTTATAGAGATAATAAGGTTAAATCATTGTTAATTAAGATTCGTGAGAACTCAAGTAAAAAGTTGCTTGATAGAAATTCTAATACCATGTCAAAGAAAATTAATTTTAATAAATCCAATTGTCATGAGAGGTTCCGAAATATATCGTATCCTTGTCTTACACCTTTGTTACTACATGCTGAGTTTTGTAGTCATCATAGAGATTTTACAAGTTTAACTTATCAAAAATGTATTAGAGATTTTGAGAAATATATCATTCATATGCGCATGATTAAGACAAATCACAATTTTTCCAAATTGATTGTCGATTGATAGGTCGACTCCAATTGATAGTAACTTTGGCATAGTGCACCTTGGCCTGATCGTATATTGTAGGTTATATGTCTAATATAGGGCTGTCAATTTGGTTTTGGTTTTTCGGTTTTAACCAAACCAAACCTTTAAAAGGTTAACGATTTTGGTTTTTTCGGTTTTAAACCATTTAGCATATTAATGGTTTTGGTTTCGGTTAAAACCAAAAAACCAATAAAAATCAATAAATTGATAAAGACCTATGTTTTCTTGAAGGACCCTTGATTTCTTTGAAGCAACCATGTTTTTGGTTTTTGGTTTATCGGAACCATTAAGGAGCTTATCGGTTTATGGTTATCCAAAAACCGGTAAGCCTCTTAATGGTTTTGGTTTTTGTGAATATGCCTAATTTGGTTTTTGGTTTTCATGCTAATGGTTTGGTTTTGTTTGGTTTTGGTTATCCAAATTGACACCCTAGTCTAGTTTATGATTATTTGATTATGAGTATGATGAGGAGTTTAATTATATTAATTAATATTAGTGTTATTCATTGGTTAAAATTCTCATTTATATACATACTAGATAGACATGTATATTGATTGTTAAAGGCAAAATACACTTGTATAGCCAAAACTTTCGCGCTTGTGCCAATAATAGCCAAATTTGGAGAAATACCACTTATAGCCAACTTTTAAACTTGTTGTAGGACAAATATGCCATTTCCATTAGATACTTTAACAGTGTTAATAACACCGTCAACTTCTTTGACAGTTTGCTGATTAGGCACCAACTCAACGGACACATCAGTGCCAAATAAGCCAAAAGTGACACGTCATATATTAAAATTATTTAATATTTACACATGATAAATTAATAAAAAAATTAATTTATTTTCCAGCCATCAATCTTCGTCCCGACTGATGCGCTTTGCCCCAATTTGAGATGAGGCGAATTCTTATTATGGCAAAATCTTTCCTTCTGGGTGCTGAGATTTGACCCAAATCAAAGAGATTCGACGATGAACAACCCGGAAGGCGTCAAAGGAGAAGCTGGGTGAGCAGACAGTCAAGATCTGCGTTTGCTGGCCGCGAAGCAATCTGCGGCGGTTAAGCTGTGTCTACTCGTTTGGCACCCGATGTTAATTGCACTTTTTCGGTGCCTCCATGGATTCTTCAACCTCTCCACCTCTTGCGTCTTCTTCAATCCCGACAAAAGGCAGGGGAGACGCGCGGCGCTGGGAATCCTCCGATGGGTCTTCAAGCCTCATCGACATAGAGAGCAATGGCGAGGTGGAGAGTTTTGGGTGGGGATTTATTTAGGGGTGGGGATTTATTTAGGGTTTACGCCATGCTCAGTGGGTGAGAAGAATGGTCTGGCGGAAAGGGTAGGTGAAGGGATTTGAAAGAGTGAAGAAGAGTCTGGGTAGGTGGAGGGATTAGGGAGTCTAGGTAGGTTTTGGAAGATGATGGGCAATGGATAATGGGGACGGCGGAGAGGGTAGGTCTAGGGATTGTGAGTTTTTTTATTAAATTGGTTTCCTTTTAATTATTTTTGTTTTCATTAATTTATTTTTTTATTTCCATTAAATTTAATTTTTATTTATTTTTCATTAATCTACACGGCATTGTTGGTGATGAAACGTCGTCAAATCAGCATTTCTGTTAGTCCAGTCAGCTTGTTAGATGACACCGTTGAAGTATTGGACGGAAGTGGTTATAAGTGGTATTTTTTCAAATTTGGCTATTATTGACAAAAGCGCGAAAGTTTTGGCTATACAAGTATATTTTGCGATTGTTAAAGTATGGTTGTTTTTCGAAATTTCTATTTGGATTAAGAATAATACAAGAAAATCTTATCGAAATAACTATTATAACATTGAAAATTATGAATACAAAATAGAGAGATGATAGATAATTTTGTTTTAAACAATATAGAAATATATTACATTTTGAGGGCAGTTCTACGGTGCCCAGGGCAAAATCCGGGGTACGGGTGACCGGGGGCAAGGAAAATTACCAAATGCATCACGAAGCGTTTATGGTGACTTCTACGGACTTCAACCTAACTGTACCCGGTTTAATGATAGCGATTAAGAGGTTAAACCCTATGGATACGACCCGCCGCCCTAACCAATTTCCAGTCTCCCTTCTACGATCCCTCATTCGCCTTGGAGGGTCCCCTCTAACTCTAAGTTCGAAGTTCGATCATAAGCTGCCTATCAAATCTGAAATCTCCAACAAAATCATCGTTTCAAAACCCAAATCCTTTTATTATTTGATCCACATTCGATTTAGCTCCCTATCCAATCTCAAATCCCCAACATCATCATGTTTCATACGCCAAATCTATGTATCCACATTCGAAGAGAAGATCCCCATCCAATATGAAATCCTCACATAATCATCGTTTAGAACCCCAAATCCTTTTATCCACAAATCGACGTTTTGTTCATCGCCATTTTATTTCCGTGCGGAATTTACTCGCCTTTCTCTTTCTAACACGATTACGGCGACCATGTCTATTATTGTGTTCATCAAACTTTTCGTTTGCAAAAGAACCCTTGAAAGAGATTTGCTAACCCTAGGGTTCATGTCGCTAGTGCTTTGTCATCTTGTCTTATCGTTATTGTCATTTTCTCGAAACTTCTATCACTCGGTGAAATTAAGGTTTCCTGATATGCAGTGTTCGTCTCGCCTAGATGATTGAGGAAGGAGATGAAGAAGACCTAATTTGATTCGAATCAGATGGAGAGGTCTCCTTAATTTGTGTTTATGTATTAACGCTGCGTTTAGGACTAATTCTAGTTGGACTGGGTCTGATCATTGATTTTTGCAGGCTTTTAAATAACATTCAAACGTGGGCTTGTACATGGACCCATGACACCTAGTTTGTTGATAATAGATACTGAGTTCCGGATTGTCATTAGGTTGGGCCTTTGATAATTGTCTATCTCAGACTCTCAGTGGCGATTCTTTGTTTTACTTATTTTCATCTGCTTCTGCTTCTAAAATCCTGATCATTCATTGAGTTCACGCAATTTAAACATAATTCTGTGTTCCATCTTTTTTGGAATTTGGTAAATGCTAGCGTGTCTCTTTACACATTTAGCGGTACGAGGTAAACTACAATCCGCCCAATTTAACTCTTCATTAATTGAGATCCCATTCCACTCTCTCACCGATTTCCCCTCTTTATGCAATGCACTCGTACATAACAAACCTCTTGTAGACTAATTAGAGGCTTGTGGTTGGATACTGAGTGAGGATATTTTTTGAATTTATGTTTTGAAACGAAAGTTAGAGTTTCACTTTTGAAGTACCTATGTACTTTAGTTGGACAAGTATTTTCAAAATGTAAAATTTTATCAGCGTATAGGTATACGATTGTTGTATAAGGTGTTGATGTTAGAGGAAATGGGTACTGACTGCTTAGGGTATTAGGTTGTTGATGGTATAGAGTATATGGTATATGGGTAGGTTATAAGGTGTTGATGGTTTAGAGCATATGGTATCGATTGGTTAAAGGGTGAGGGTAGGTGTTGTCTTATTTTTTCTCGATTATATATTTTCTTTATATTTGCTTATAAATGCTGATCATGCCTTATTACTAAGACATAATTCGTTATATCTGCTTATAAATGCTGTATATCTGCTTATAAATGCTGATAATTTATTGTTTGATTTGAACCTGCGTGTTTTTGCTCCGAATGATTTTGTAGTGGCGTGGTAAAGACAATCCGTCCAATTTAACTCTTCATTA